CTAGTTTCAGCGAATCTTGCTAACATGATAAGTCTGTTCCTTGTTTCTAAAATATAGGTGTGTTCTTTTTTGTTAAACTTTGGTTCTTTAAAATGTGAAACATTGCTAGACATGTCGTTTCCATCAATAGTTTGTCTTTTCTTGTGCATGTTTATTATTAAGCACACATATTTGTTACAGGTTGTCACAACTGGAAAAATTACGAGACAGGACAGAACATCCGCTTGGAGGGAACTGCAAGAAGCTGCGATTCAGAAGAAAACACGCCCATTTTACAGGGAAGTAGATAAACATGGTCGTATGTATGCAGGTAGATATTGATTCTCTTAAAGCATTCTTATAAAGAAGTGAACTGTCAGGATCTATAGGTGGTGGCTTGTTTTTCTAAACACAACTTGATTAGTAGGGCCTGCAACTGCTTTTGACTGGTCATGAAATATGTCAATGCTACTGGCCTCTGCTTAAGCTTCAAGATTAAGATTTCCACTTGAATTGGTTATCATAATCACGTTTGAGATATGCTTAGCTATTCTCAGTTTGAATTATTCATTGAGCTGTGGGAGGGCTGACAAAAAACAGCCATCTAGAATGAGAGTTGTATTGCAGTGTTTGCTTCCCAAATCTAAGCATTGCTGGTCTTCTTTGGCTTACAGGGGGTCTAGATCGGCCTATTGAGCGAGCTTTTGTATTGCGGGACTGGCGATTTGGCCACTATGAAATAGAAGGCTTGCAGGATCCTTTGAGTCGCTTTGTAAGATGCGTTATGCGACCATTTCCACGCAAGAAGATTCACTACATTGAGGACGATGCAATTTCTTACTCTATTTCTTCTTGAGACCTTCTATTGTAGTTGCTATTCAAGATCTGTTTCTTTGGTTACAATAAAAAAACATCAAACTTTTGGTGAGTCAATATCCGTGTGTTTTGTTGTTCCTTTTTCTGTACACATGACCTATTCAGAAGTTTATCTTGATTACTTGGTATTTGTGTAGGGTAATATTTCCTCTGGAGGAAGCACATAAGAAGTTCTGGCAAGTGGAAGCTTCACATTTTGCATTTTAAATGTACATGGTTATATACTGTTCACTGTAGTAGTAGAAGTACCTTGTAATTTCCTTTTGCTTTACTTTGTTCTTATCCCCAGAACGTCTAAACAAGTTAAATTCTTGATTTGACTGAAGATGCAGCTGATTTTTTGCCAACTACCTTGTGATTTACTCCCTCTGTAAACTAATATAAGAGTGTTTAGATCACTACTTTAGTGATCTAAACGCTCTTATATTAGTTTACGGAGGGAGTACTAGATTAAAATATCTTTCTGCAATATACTTGAGCTCATAAGTAAGTTGCACACTTCTTGATTGAACACGATGCCGGTGAAACGTTTCACTGAGTATATGAGCATCTTGATACCCTTATGTACAGATTCCATGTTTTTTTAGATCTGAGCACATATATACGTTCAAGTCAAGTGAGTTAATGGCTGCTATTTATGGTCTAAATCAGTGCAACCATCATGTGATCAGCCCTACCATCTTACTTGGGGTATCCTAGTGCCCAAATATGCGGTACAAATAATGGGAAAATTCTCCCCTCAGAAAATATATTTATGATTAGTTTTGAGCAGTTCTGTTTCTTCTTGTAGGATTTTGCCTCCTTAGAAAATAAGTATAAGATTGCATGTCAGTACTTTAAAGGTTTAACTATCACATAACTTGTGTACATGGCCTTGCATGTAAGATGGGGGAAAACTCTCAGCAGAAGATGCAGCGAGACAGTGGATTTGACACTCATGTAGCTCAGCAGGGTCTGTTTGTTGGATAAATGAATTCATGCCTGTCGGGGTGGGTGTAGTGTAGGTGGGCAGGCTCTATGGTTTGGCTTGTTCACATGCATAGGCGTAACCACCTTTTTTTTGGAAATGGAGGCATGCCCCCGGCCTCTGCATCATGATGATCCATTCTGAGGGATCAATGCAGATCCATCCTCCTGCATGAGCTCATGGATTCATGTCTAAATTTAGCACTGCGATGTTTTTTCATTTTGGGAAGGAAAGCATCGTCAAATCTTGTTGGAACAGCACTGGCCTTTGCCTGACTTTCCAAAACCTGTATGATAGAATATAAGTGTATTTAATGATAGATCGATCTTGTAGTGTCAGTTTAGTGTTGTAGATGTTGGTATTTGTTTCTATACTGATGGTCGAACCTAAAAATGTTACCCTGCCTTGGACTAACTAATGAAACTAGTCATATTCCA